TTTGAGTTTGAATTCACGTTACTAGGTAAAACATTCATTTATATGAAAAATGATTCATTATTGCATTAATTTTATTGAAAAATTATTAGTTTAGAAGAGATGTAATTTGTCATATAAAATTATACATTTCCTCGCTTTTTTTACGTAATAGGTTTATAAAATTAAAGATAGAATTATCTCGAGATAAATAGCTCGAAATAAGTAAATATATTTATTATTTATCCAAATTAATGTATATATAATTGTTTTTCCTAACTTGACGCTGTACCAATTTTTATAGTACTTTGAAAATTATATATTCCGTGGTATGTTACGATAATACGAGTGTAATGCAGTGTGTTTTGTGACAATGTAGACGCCCCTGTAGATCTGTCATTCCAATTTGCTTGGAAGGGAAAGTCAAGAAGTTGGTGATCCGACGTGCAGCACAGTATGAATAAAACAAAAGCGCCAAGAAAACAAAGCATCATCGATTTGATATAAACATACCTGGCAACTTGCCAATCGAAGCACATTTTATTATCGAAAATAAATGAAAGTAAATTTCCTGTCGGAGAAAAATGAACAATGTTTCTGTTTCTTTTTAAATTCCATTACGAAAACTTCAAAGTTGCAATAAATGTACATAAACATACGTATACGAAAATAAATGAAAAATAATTTAGAAAAAAAAATGTTTAACCGTAAAGAACTGTTTAAAAAAATTTAAGACCAATTTTATAAAGTAAAATAAAATTATATTTATATTTGCAAGAAAATACAATTATAAAGTACAATTATCCTAATTATCTTGTATAATTACCAAAATGTTAAGTCGAGTGTCTCAAAACATTAAATGTGAATAAAGAAATCATTTTGAGAGAACTATGAAAATTTAAATAAAATGAATCCAAAATCTGACTACACACGTTTTCCGAGTCTACGTTTCAACTTGTCGTATTGTAATAAAGTTTAAAAGAAATTAAAAAATATGTCATTCGTTGAATATTGAACAGACTAATTATAAATACCAGATATTAATTAATACGAAGCAACAGAAAATTCCAAGTAGAAAATTATTAATTACACCACTGTGCAACAATGGTAGAAAAAAA